ATATAAAATTGAGTTGATTTTAATTTTAATGAACTTTTACAAAGTACTTTTACATTCTCAATTATTGTTAGCAGTCTTGTAAGTAATAATTTTTATTTTTACCAAAATCATTTTCTGACAAGGTATTTTTACTTTTACTTAGTTATTTCTTTCAAGTCTTTGATATACTTCTGGATTTTACACTAAAACGTGGTGTGGTAGCAGCTGAGAGTCCTTCCTGATCTATTATCAACATTGCAGTTTGCTATTTTCCGCACACAACGCAGCCCTGAAACCTTCCTGCAGCTTGTGGAACGAGCCGTGAGTTAGGATGCAAATGTTGAAACGACTCTCGCCTGGCCTTGTGCAGACTCAACTCTCAGGAGGAAAGTGTGAAAAATTTCTGAGTGAGCAGGTAAAAGTGCAGCGTTTTCACAGTGAGTAAGTGTGCGAGCTGATGAAATTTGCTGCTTCAGACACTTTTACGCTGTTGTAGGAAACAAAAAGAAAACAACGTTGGAAAGAGCACACATACAGTTAGCGTCCTGTTTCCAGACCTTCCCACCGTTTATCATGCTTTGTAAACAGAAAGCTGTTATTATTTCTGCATCACATCCTTCCTCCTGCTCCACTGGATGCAGCTCCTGCAGTGATAAAGTTGTGTTCATAGAAGAAATCAGTTAAGTGCAGTTTTCAGAACTTATTTTCAAACAGACGGAGGATGAAAACAGACTTTTTTCCTTTTGTTTCCAGCAGCAGCTGTAGTTCTTCTCAGATATCAGTTATTTAACGTTCCTCTTCAGCCACTGAACTCAGTCGTTAGGAGAAGCAGCTCTCTGCAGAGCTCACGTTGTGCATCTATGGCTTGTTTTTGAACTTTTGGAAAGGTTCACGGCTTTTTGCACACATACAGAATTCTTAACAAGCACTTCCAGCTGTCTGATAAATGCCCTGTCCAGGGAGTCATTTTATTCTTTCCTTACTTGTCTTTCCACCTCTCTTCCACCTGTTCTCGCTTTCCTTTCTTGTCCCTGTGTGAAATGACACTTCCGATGCAGGATTGCATTTAGGCAGCTCCCTCTGGCCCAACCAGACCGTCAGCGCTCCTCTCTCTGTTCCTCCACAGCTCCTTGCCTCCCTCGTTCTCCTCGGTCATTACACGTTATCCCACAGAATTGGCTGCGTTCAGGTTTGTCCCCGCGGCCTGTCACTGGATTCTCTCTCCTCATTTACTCTGCCTTTCCAAGACCCCAAGAGAGCGTTTTTAATTGAAGCCAGTCTCCTGACTTCTTCTCATAGCTCTGCTGCCACTGATAATTGGACAAGACATTCACAAATCACACTCCTGTCTGCACAGCCACTCTGCTACTTCCTTTTTCTTTTTTTTCCTAAAATGTCACTTCCAGCACTCCTGTGGTTCACTATAAACACACTGGTTTACTCACCTGCTCGTTTCCAGCTGCTTCATTAAGTCAAACTGATATTTAATAATATTTTTTTAAATTAGTTTATCTTTTTACATTTGATTTATTACAAACATCCACAACTGAATCCAAAAATAACATCAATTTCTATCAATCAGGTCCTGTTTTTATGCTGTTCATTTTTAAAGGGGCAATATTATGTGTTTCTCTGGCATATATTTAAATACTATACCATAATAAAGTATATATGTCACCTTTAGCT